TGGTAAGACTTCCCTGGAGGAGAGCTCGTGGAGAGAATACCGTCTCTGGCCTTCTCAGGGCCACTTCGGGCCTCTTTGGGCCTGGGTGCTGATGCTCCCCTTGGAAACAAAATAAGAACACAACCAGAGATAATGTGTTGAGTGGCTAAGAACACAAACCCTGGAGCCACGCTGCCTGGGTTTGAGTCAGTTATCAGCTACTTGACTTTGAGCAAGCTGCTTAACCTTTCTGTGCCTCGGTCTCCTCATCTGTAAAATGAGGGGATGGCCATTGTGACCTCCCGGAGCTGTGGTGAAGTGCAAACGAGATGGAAAGTATGAGACCACACCGCTGTAAACTGTAGAGTGCCAGGCTTTCGTTGGGAGGTATTACCTTTCAGGACGGGAGTTGAGACTGGTTGCTGGGGCAGTTGAAGAGGGAGTTAGAGAAACGGAGTCGTGTGCAACCAGGAATCCCTCGGGAGCTGGCCGAGTTGCAGCCCCAGAGCAGGCCTCGGGCCCGGAACTAGGGCGGCAGAGCCCCTTGCACACCCCTGGGTCCCTGGTGACCAGCACTGGTGGCCCAATGAGGCCCCTCTTCCCGGCACTCCCCTCTGACTGGCCAGGCCAGGGGCGAGATGCGGGAAGTGGGATCAGGGGTGTCCGGTCACCCTGGCAACCGAGGGTGACGTACAACAGCGTTGCCTGCTGCTCCACTGCACCGGTCTCAGCAGATGGGGACCGTCCCAGGAGATGTAAATCAAATGTTCTCGTGGTGGAGAGCGGGGAGGTTGCAGAGGCACCGGGAGCCCCTCACCACTTTGGAGTTCGGTCAGTGTCTGCTCAGTGTGCGTGTGTGTGTGTGTATGAGAGAGAACTAGAGCGTGTGAATGTGTGTAAGAGTGTGTTATGAGAGAGAGTTAGAGTGTGGGTGAGTGTGTAAGAGGGAGTAAATGTGTGTGAGAGCTGTAAGGGAGTGTGGATATGTGTGTAAGAGAGCGTGGGTGAGAGTAAGGGGGTATGTGTAAGAAGGAGTGAGTGTGAGGAGTGTGTATAAGAGCTCGAGTGAGGATGAGTATGTGTAAAAGGGAGTGTGTAAGAGTGCAAGAGCTTGTGGGTGAGTGTGAGAGACTGCAGGTGAGTGTGTAAGAGGGAGTTTGTAAGAGTGTAGGAGAGCAAGAGTGTGGGTGAGTGTGTGTGTCCCCCAGTCCCCGCAGTTGCCCATCTGCCATCTACACCGGGCAGAGTGGGAAACATCTCTCCCCTCCCGTGGTCAGAACTATGTCCGTGGGTTTGCCCTGTGGCCCAGGGATGTGGAATTTCCACACCCTCATGGGAGGCCACGTGGTTTGAGAGATCACTGGGCCTGGAGCTTCCTGGCTTCTCACCGTGGAATGGTCACGTGACACTGACAGGTCACTGGCTGTCTTTGAGTCTCAGTTTCCCTGACCATGTGGCAGAGGGTTTGGATGGTCTCCAGGGTCTGTTCCACTCTCCTGGCTCTGGATCTGATTCCAGCCGCCTCTGCCCCACCCCAGATTCCATCCTGGTGATATCACTGCTGCCACAAAGTTTGGGTCCTGGAAGTCCAGCCTCATTTCCTGGCATCTTGGGATCTCCCCTCAGTGCTGGGCCTTTGTCAGGGGATTGGGGCCTGACTATTCCCCTTTTACCACACGTGGTGTCAGCAAACTTCCCGCACCTTGAGGAGATCTCTAGGGCTACAGGGTGGGGACAGCTGGTAGAGTCAGGGCCTTGGGAGAGGGACAAGCCAGAACAGGCCTTCATGCCCCTCCCCACACCGTACCACTGCGCCCTCCCCACTGGAAACTGCTTTCCAGTAATGTACCGCCTACCAGGGGTAAGGAGCCAAGTGTGGATCCCAGACCTTCCTCTTCAATCTGGGCTTGGCCCTTCCCTGTCCTTGCCCATCAGGGTCTGCTCACCAAGAGGCAAGGCCAGCACAGGAAGACCCGGGGAGACTCACTCTGGGAACATGGCTCCAGTCCCAGGTACTCTGGGAGCAAGCTTATGTGGAAGAAAGTGCATTGCACCCAAGACAGGAGGCCTGAGACCTAGTGATCCTGGGTAGCTGGGACCTGTCCTGCCTCCTCTGAGCTCTAGCTTTTCTTCCATCAAATAGGAGTGCCAGTTGTCTCCTAGCCTAGCAAGGGAGGCCTGATGGCCTAGAAGTCCCAAGAGTGAGTAAAGCATGGCCATTCCCACAAGCTCTTCATGAAGGTTCTGACTTTGAGTAACCTCAGTGTCCCCAGTGCACAGCACCAGCCTGGGCTCAGAGAAAATACCCATGTTTCAGTACAAGATTAATTAGCTCTCTCTGCTACAGATATTCTAAGCTAGAGTAGAATTCTTCCCTTAGACTCTGGGGAAGCTACCGAATCTTGCTTGCCAGGCCCCACCTTTCTCTTCTGCAAAATGGGGACAATACTTATCCCACGGGGCTGTTGTGAGGACTAAAGAGATGCTATATGCCAGGCTCCCAGCACAGTGCCTGGCTCACAAGTGCATCTTTAGGAACAATGAACATTCTTCACGTTACTGCTCTTGGCTTGTTTTGCATGTCCCCCTACCCCGTCCTCCCATGTGGTACTCCTCTCTGGGTTTCCAATGCATGGTGTGGCACTTCCCGGTCCCAGGAAAGCTTTGTGGATCGGACTGATAGCATTGGGGGGTGGGGGGGCAGGGAGGAATTTTCAAAGCCTAATGTGCTAGATGGAGGTGGAGGCTGTCTCCTGCTTGCCTGGGCTGTCTCTTTAGACTATGCCTTCTCCTAAGGCAGCTAGCTGTTGATGCTCAGTTCCAGGGCAGGATGTCAAGGTCAGCTGGCTAGACTTGGAGCTGGACTCCTGGCCTTGAGGAGCAGCTTCCTGGTGGCCGGCAGGAGCTCTGCTCCCCCAAAGTCCCATGCCATCCTATCTCCCCTCCGGGGCAGTGCAGGTCTCTGGGTGTGGTGCCATTGTCCCGTCTCCACTGCTCCGGCCTAGGTTGTCTGACCTTGCTGGGTGCCGGGGAAGAGAGAGAAATCTGGGCAGGGTCTGTGGATTGAAGGTTCGAGAAGGGGAGGCACCGGAGAGGGACTCCTGCCCTAATGTGAACAGACAGGGATGGTCAGGGAATGCTTCCTGGAGCAGCAGGAGGATAGAAGCATGTGGCATCAGCCACACACATGGGGATAGAGGTACAGGAATGGTGTTCTGGAGAGACAGACTAGACCAGGCAAAGATCTATAGACAAGAGAGGATGTGGTTCATTTGGGCGAAATGCCCCTTCCATTGCACCAGCCAACTGAACACCGGGGGTTACTCCTAGACACTACAAAGACTGGGGAATTTTTCAACAAGAGGGGAGTTTGGTCACGTCTGTTTTGAAGTCAAGAGAATTGTACTGGTGGCTTTGGGGTGCTCTCCTCGCCTACAATGGAGACGTGTTTTTTTCTAACATGTTTTGAGTGTCTCCTGGGTGCTTGGCACTGTACCAACGTTCTGGGCCTAGCTAGTGTTTTGAGGGTGAGTTTTGACTTGTAGCTGTACTGGCACTACCCAGATCGGTATTGGAGAGTAGAAGGGGCTTTGGGCATGAGGAGGGATGTTTCTTCTCCTTCCCACAGATCTCAGGGGTAATGAGAGCCAAAGCTTGGCCAGATGGGTTGTCAGGAATTATGTCAGTAATGGCCTAGCCCTGTGCATTTTCAAATCAGTAGATACTTGTTGAGTTCCTACTATGTCCCTAGCCCTGGGGATCTCATTATAAATGGATAGGGAATCTGCCTGCACAGATTACAGGCTAGGGAGGGGACGGGAGCAAGAACTTTCACCTTAAACAAACCGTCATACTCTCTTAACCAAGCTTACCGTGGGTTTTATGGCACTCAACATGGGGTTAAATGCCTGGGTCTTCTCCACCCACCTCCCCACCCAAAAATAAACCCAAAACCCTTAGGGAGCTTGGGACCAAACCTGGCATTGAAGGAGCACCTCTCAGAAGGGCATTTTTGCTACTTCCTAGCTCTGGGTTTGGAGCCTCAGTGTGGACCACTGCTGCTAGCTTGGGGAGAGGGTATCAGGCGGAGGGGCATGTTCATGCCTTGATGAGGAGGAGGGAGAGTGAGGGTTGACTTCTAGAACTTAGGAGTTTGATGGGAGCTACGGGGGTCAGACCTGGGTTCTGTCCTGGTTCTGCTACTGATTTGCCGTGTGCCCTCATGCAAGTGTGCCCTCATGCCCTTCCCCTTTCTGGGCCTCGGTTGCTCTATCTTTAAAGTGGATGGGATTAGGCTAGAAAACAGGATGGCATATAGGTTTTGTCTCACATGCAAAATGGACTGATCGCCATTGGCTTCTTGAGCAGCTCTCTGGGCTTAGCAGGAAAGCACACGAATCTGGAGTTAGGGGTCACTGTGTACATTCTGTGGGTTTGCAGACGGCAGGTGGTTTGATCCCCAAGTTCCTTTCTGTGCTTCCTTCTATCTCCTGTGTTATTTCTTGACCAACCGGTTGTCTGCTTTCTGCTTAAACACCTTCGTGATGGGGAACTCACTTCCTTCCCTCAGACAGAATCATTAGATTATTGTGCCTGGTCTCGAGCTCACATCTGCCACCCTGAACTTGTACCTAGAAAGCTGACTTGGGTTCAGGTGTAGCTAATGCCCTTAGATACTTGGAGCCTCGGTAATCAATGTATGATTTCTGTCTTCCGGAGGCATACAGAGCTGCTTCTTTCCACTATTTTATGACAGAGGCAGAGATAGCATCTGTATATCCGTTGGAAAAAACACTTTAAAAATATTGTCAATTAGTTTATACGGCAAACCTGGTGAAGCTGGTATTACTGCTTCCATTTTATGGATGGTGAAGCCAAGGCTCAGAGAGTTAACAGAGCGGCCCTCCGAGACCAAGCCTGTGCCCCTCTCACCAGCTGCTCCTCTGTCCCCAGCCCTGTCCCCAACCTTCCGTCCTGGCTCGCCGCAAGACCATGGCCTCCTGTTCTCTCACCCTCCGCAGGTTTCCATGTGATCCCCACTATCTCGAGCATCGTCCCGGAGAGCTGCCTGCTGATCGTGGTGGGGCTGCTGGTGGGGGGCCTGATCAAGGGCGTGGGCGAGACGCCCCCCTTCCTGCAATCCGACGTCTTCTTCCTCTTCCTGCTGCCGCCCATCATCCTGGACGCGGGCTACTTCCTGCCGCTGCGGCAGTTCACAGAGAACCTGGGCACCATCCTGATCTTCGCCGTGGTGGGCACACTGTGGAATGCCTTCTTCCTGGGCGGCCTCATGTACGCCGTGTGCCTGGTGGGCGGCGAGCAGATCAACAACATTGGCCTTCTGGACAACCTGCTCTTTGGCAGCATCATCTCAGCCGTGGACCCCGTGGCCGTGCTGGCTGTCTTTGAGGAAATTCACATCAATGAGCTGCTGCATATCCTTGTCTTTGGGGAGTCCCTGCTCAATGACGCCGTCACTGTGGTGAGGGGCAGTGGCCACACACACGTGCGCATTGGGCACAGACCTGAATCCAGGTCCAGAGTGAATCCCACATCCACCCGCTAATCACAGTAGCCAAACAGCTAATGTCCATTCCTGCTTACTCTGTGCCAGGCATCACTCTGAGCACTCAGTGTGGATTATCTCATTTAATCCTGATGATGATCTTCGGAGGTGCTTCTTACTTTACAAACGAAGAAGCATCAGGCTCGCTGAAGTTAAACAACTGGCTAACATATGATAGAACCAAGGTTAGAAGTCAGGTCTGTCAGACGTCCGGACCTGAGCTCTTGGCCTTCCCGGGGCATATTCTCTGTCCCTGACTCAGATCGTGATGTGATCTTGGTTAAATTACATATCCTCTTTAGACTTCAGTTTGTCCTTTATAGGCCCTTTAGTCTATCAGGGCCATTTCAGCTTTATGTTGGCTGGGTCTTAAGTTATAGTTAGGTGTGTGCAGTTTGGGGGCAGCAGTGGTGGAAAGGGACCCTGCCCTCAAAACCTCCAGAAAGGGCACCTGGCTGGCTCAGTTAGTGGAGCATGCAACTCTTCATTTCAGGGTCACGAGTTCAAGTCCCACATTGGGCATGGAGCCTACTTTAAAAACGTAAAAAATAAAATTTATCAAAAAAAAAAAAAAAAACCCTCCAGAAGGTGATAAGTAAAATAGATTGTCTGGGGTTGGCCACTTGCTTATTACCTGACCTTAGGCAAATCACCATACCTCTCTGGGCCTCACCTTTGATAGCTGCAAAGTGGCAGAGCAGATACTGCTTTCCTCCCAGGATCCAGTAAGAACAGCCCCAACACAGAGTCTGGCACATGGCTGTGCTGTATGTGCTCACACATGCCCTTCCTCCCAGCTGGTTTCCTCAGGAAACAGGTATGTGTATGTGCACACTCACACATTGTGAAAACACTCTCATTCTCCTAGCTGGCCCCCTCAGAGAGCACTGCACACACGGGAAAACACAAGGACACCTGCACGCCAGTGCATGCTCACACGCTCCCTCTTCACCCACCCCAGCCCCTCAGGAAGCCGCACTTCAAAGAAGAGACAGACAGCAGTGGGGGGGGGGGGGGGGGGGGGGGGCCGGCAGCCTCAGCTTCCTCTTCCTCCCCTGCTGCCTTCATCGGGTCCTTGTGGGGCTGGGGGAGCAGCAGTCTGGTCTAAGCAGGCAGGCCTCAGTGCTGGGTCTTCTGGCACCAGCTCTTGCCTCAGTTTCTCCATCTGTAACAAGGATTGCAGTACCCAGCCTGTCATCCTCCCAGGGTTCTTACAGGAGGCACACTTACCAGCAAGTACCAAAGTCAAAGCCCTCCCCAGTTGGGTCTGGGTGTTGGGGTTCAGGTTGGCACTATCGGGGAGCAGTGGGGCCTGCTTATGTCAAGTGGATACCGCAGTCTGGCCAACTTGGGCATCTGGCCATGCCTCCCAAGGTGGTGGCAGTGCTGGTAGTGAGCTCACTTCCTATGCGAGCACTTCCTGTCTGAATATGTATTTGCCTCATCTGATCCACACAGAAACTCCGGGAGGTTGGCACTGTAACTATCCCGTTTTTCCAAGTGAGGAAACTGAGATACTGAGAGGTTAAGGAGCTCATCCAGGGTCATGTTAGCTGATAAATGAGGTAGCTGGGGTTCAGATCTACACAGTCAGAGCCCTGAGCCCACACACTTACCACTATGCTACACTGCCTCTCTAGTCTATAGCCGGGTGGGAGAGGAGGACCTCGCCCTTCACCTGCCCCACTGGCCCAGGTAGTGCACTGTGAGGACCCATGAACCTCCTCGGGCCAGGAGTGAGTTTAGGTAGCCGAGGGCTAAGAATGCACCTGCTGTCCACTGCGGGAGCCCTGCCTGTCTCCCAGACAGCTATGGTCCAGGCAGCACTGCAGACTGGCCAGTGCTTGGCATCTCCCCTTCCGTCTGCCCCAAGTCAGACCCTTTCTGGAGCTCTGGCCACAAACGTGAGTGCCCTGTTCCCGACATTAAAGCTGAACGCTCCCCCTGAGTCCCATGGCCTCAGGCTTTTGCCCTGGAACAGGTCACCACTCCTACCCAGGCCTCCTTGTCTCTAGGTACTGGGGGCTTTGGAGAGTCCCCTTTCAGTAACGCTCAGGTCCTTTTCTCTCTCCCTCAGCACCCCCAGGCCTGGAAACTCCAGCTGGTTTCCTGGCACAGCTGTCTAGGAGAAGGCCTGGTAGCCAGGGAGCTGGCACCTGAGTGGGGGTGGATCTTCAGAGCTGTACCTGCTGGGGAGGGCCTGCCCACTGCTGTCAGGGAGCAAGTTCTGGGCCTGGCTTTGCTGATGGGGTCTGGGGGCCCTGTGTCAAGTCGCTCCACCACTGTGGGCTTCAGTTGAGCAAAGGAGTGGGCATCCTTGGCTCGCTTACCTCATGAGGCTGCTGTGTGTCAAGCAGGGTGACCGTTGTCCAAGGGCTTTACAATATATGAAGTCCCATTTAAACATCTGACGATAGCATTACAGTGACTGTTTCTTTCCCAGTCCAGGAGGTGGGGAAGCCTTAGAAAGCCTCTAGTTCCATAGTATCTGAATTTGGCCGTTCACGGTAACCCCCTGAAGAGCTTGTTGAGTAGAGATTTCTGGGCCCCACCTCCAGAGAATCCAAGGCGGGTATGGCCTGCCTGTGTATATTTTCAGAAATTTTCACAGGTTAAGAAGTCCTGTTCTAGTTCATGGTCTGAATTCTCCCTGATTTATGCTGAAGAAGAGACTGAAATCCAGACAGGGACATGACCTGCCCAAGGTCAGACAGTGAGAGAGGCCCCTTAGTGCCAGGAATAGCTAACACTGTGATAGGCATGGCCCTGGGCACTTTGCCTTTATTAACTAGTTTAGTCCTCACAATAGTCCTGTAAGGTTGGTACTGTAATCCCATTTTATGGCTGGGAAGATTGCAGCACAGGGAGACAGTAATCTGCCCCATGCACACAGCTAGGGCACGGCAGAGCCACTGTTCAACCCAGACAGTTTGGGTTCAGAGTTTGTGCTCTTGATCAGCACGGCATGCTGCCTGCCGGAAGCGAGGCCCTTGGGCCCCTGGCCCAGTGGTTTGGACCACCTGCTTGGCACTAGCGTGTCTCCACTATCACATGGCCTCTTCTTGTGGCCGTGGTCAGTGGAAGGCACATGATCACCCTTGGGTGGACCCCAGAGAGCTGGAGGGCCAGGGCCCTGCCCTCCTGCCAACCAGCCTGCACGTCCTCCCCAGGTCCTGTATCATCTCTTTGAGGAGTTTGCAAACTACGACCGAGTGGGCATCGTGGACATCGTCCTTGGCTTCCTGAGCTTCTTCGTGGTGTCCCTGGGCGGGGTGTTTGTGGGTGTGGTCTACGGGGTCATCGCAGCCTTCACGTCCCGATTCACCTCCCACATCCGTGTCATCGAGCCGCTCTTCGTCTTCCTCTACAGCTACATGGCCTACCTATCAGCCGAGCTCTTCCACCTGTCGGGTATCATGGCGTGAGTCTGGGCATGGCATGGGGGGGGGGCCCGGGGGGCGGCCTGCCAACACAAGGGAGCTCCCCAGTGCCCAGCCTCCAGCTCCAGGGATAAGATTCATGCACCAGGCTCCAGGTCCTGGGACTGCCCTGGGAAGCACTGAGTTTAAAGTTTTGGAAAGCGTCAGCCCTGCTACTTCTTCCCTTCATTGGCCTCCAAGGGGGTTCCTTGGTTGTAGCTAGACACAGGTTCCTGCATTCACTGTGCCCTTCTGTAGCCCTAGCGAGAAGGCTTGGGGCCTCCATTGCTGTGAGGAGTCATAGAGGTCCTGAGGCCTCAGCTGGGCCTTGCAGTCAGGGTAAGGTGGAGAAGCAGTGAGGTGTGCCCGGTAGAGCAGGACATTGGAAGTGGAGAGGCCGGGTTGGATCACAGGATTCAGGGTGACCTTGAGGAGGCCAGGCCAGCAGGAGCAGAGCTCAGGTATGGACCCCAGGCCAGGAGAGCTTGGGCAGCTACTGTGGAGACCCCCATCTGTGAGACACCGCACTCCAGGGTAATAAACCAAGGCCACAGACATGTGTAATTGACTCCTGTTAGGCAGAGAGGCAGCACGGCCTTGGGGAGGAGGCACAGGCCTGGGAGTCGGGCAGACCTCGGTTTGCATCTTAGCTCTGCCACTCACTGGCTGGGTAACAGTGGAAGGGTGAAGTGTCTCTTAACTCTCAGGTCCCTCAGCTGAAAAATGCAAAAACATGACGGTGTCTGAGGGTTGAGTGAGAGGATTGAGCTGGAAAAGTCGCGTGAAGCCCACAGTGAGTGCCTGACCCGTCAGAGGAGCTCAGTAAATGGGTATCGCTCAGCCTCCCTGGCAGTGGAAGGGCTTTGGGAAGGTGCAGCTCGCCTGAACCCCGAACTCTGCTCTTTTCTGACCCCAGACTCATTGCCTCGGGAGTGGTGATGCGCCCCTACGTGGAGGCCAACATCTCCCACAAGTCCCACACAACCATCAAATATTTCCTGAAGATGTGGAGCAGTGTCAGTGAGACCCTCATCTTTATCTTCCTCGGCGTCTCCACGGTGGCTGGCTCCCACCACTGGAACTGGACCTTTGTCATCAGCACCCTGCTCTTCTGCCTTATCGCCCGAGTGCTGGGTGAGGTCCTGGGCTGGAGCCGGGTGGAGGTGTGTGTGCGAGCGTGCGCGGTGGGGGCAGGGGGTCGGCTGGGGGGGAAGGAAGGGTGCCCTGTGTGGAGAGCCCCTGCTTGGCTGTGCAGCAGGTGCTCCCCAGCCCCTCTCTGCCATGCTGAGACCACGATGGGTCCTCGAGAGGAGCCCATGCTCACGGTGAGTCTGTGACCTCTGGGAAGACGGTTGTGTGTGAGTGCACAGAGGGACCTCGGGGAGCCTGTGCCACAGAGCTTGGGTTTGTGAATGTTTTCTGCGTGGTCCTGTGGCGCCGATGACTCAAGCCCTTGGAAAGCTGAGGACGGCTCCTCCAAACCTGGCTGCGCCGCCAGCCCAGGGCCACACCCAGGGACCAGGCCTCCAGTCCTTGGGTCCTGCTTATACTTTCCAGACACGCCTCACCTCAGAGACTGTATCACTTCCCCCTCTGGGTCTCACTCACCTCTCCTCTGAGACTAGGTCTTTGGTCCCCAAGCCTGACTGGGTATCACATCCACTCGGTGCACTGTTCTAAATCCCCTTTCTTCCAGGGCCTCATCCTCCAGAGATTCTGGTTCTGTGCTTGAGGTTGCATCCAAGTCTCTGCATTTAAAAAACAAAAAAACCCAAAATACCCACAACGTTTTAGGGGCGCCTGGGTGGCTCAGTCGGTTGAGCGTCCACCTTTGGTTCAGGTCATGCGTGATCTCGCAGTTCTTGAGTTCGAGCCCGGCATTGGGCTCTGAGCTGTCGGTACAGCTGGAGCCTGCTTCAGATTCTGTGTCTCCCTCTCTCTGCCCCTCCCCCACTTGCACTCCGTCTCTCTCTCTCAAGAATAAAGAAGCATTAAAAAAAAAAAAAGAAATTAAGAAAACTTTTTTATTATGGAAAATTTGAAGCACACAGAAGATTTGAGCCCATGAACCCATTATAATGAATAGATACCAACATGTGGCCTTCTCCCACCCCCCTTCTGACATCCAGCCACCGGAGGCCTTGTGATATCTCTAAAGCACATCCAGGTTGGGAAACCCTCTGAGGGATCCACCCAGCTGTTGGCTGAGGGACCCAGGAAATGAGCGCGCTGGGTGGGTGTACTCGCGGAGGCTTCCTCCAGACAGAGCGGTTGCGGGGAAGCCGGGAGGGACTGGGGACAGTTTGACACTCTTCCTGCCCTTCCCTGGCAGGTGTGCTGGGCCTGACCTGGTTCATCAACAAGTTCCGAATTGTGAAGCTGACCCCCAAGGACCAGTTCATCATTGCCTACGGAGGCCTGCGAGGGGCCATCGCCTTCTCCTTGGGCTACCTCCTGGACAAGAAGCACTTCCCCATGTGTGACCTGTTCCTCACTGCCATCATCACTGTCATCTTCTTCACCGTCTTTGTGCAGGTGCTGGACAGGGCAGAGCAGCCCTGCCTGGGGACCCTGGGTCTGCCAGTGAGAGGGGGCCACGGGTTCTAGTTCACTGATAACTTGCTGTGCAATCTTGGGCAAGCCACTCCCCCTTTCTGGGCCTCATTTTCCTTAATTGTGAAGGGGGAATTATGATAGTGAGCAACCGATCAGAAAGTAGAGCAGCCAGAATGCTGCCTAACTTAGTTAGAGATCCAGACAGCATTGAGAGAAGTGGGTGCAGTCAGCAGGCCCACAGGCTCTTTACAGGGCTTTGGGGAAGTGATTTAATGTCCTAGGATCTCAGTTTCTGCGCCTGTAAAATGGGATAATCATAGCACAACGGGGGGAGCTAGAAAGGTTGTTGAGTTGGGCAGCAGGCGGTCTGGAGTCAGCCCGAGCTGTGCTGCCCCTGTGTGACCCTGGGAAAGACCCTCCTCCCTTTTCTGGGTTCACTTCCCCATCTGTGAAGTGAGGGCATCAGCTTAGATGATCCCAGAGTCCTTCCAGCCTTGCTGGTCAGTATTTTCTGTGCATTTAAATGAACCTGGCTTAGCTGAGAGTCCCCCCAAACCCCTCAGAATCCCCAAGGAAACCCAGCCTGGATGGCGGAAATTTGCTCCACCTTACCTGACCTGTGACTTTGGGCAAGTGAGAAATGGTCTGTCGAGGCCTCCATTTCTATCCCCTCTGTCTTTCCTAGATATAAATCGTGGCAAAGCCTTAGCTGGGAAACAGCGTTGCCTTCTCAAAAGAAAGAGATATGGCGGCATCCTCCTGGGGCTAGACTTAACCTTCTGTCCTTAATAAGGATAGGGGGCTGCCTCCTTCACCCGCTTGCCCTGTTTCCATCTTCAAAAATATTTTATGACCTTAACTTTGCAGTTGTATATGGTAATGGTTTACCAAGTCCATTTTCAATGAAGTCAGCATTGAGGGAGGGCCTTCCTGCTTGGGTCTGAATCCAGCTTTACTACTCCTGTGAGACCTTAGAAAGTTACTTACCCTCTATGTCAGTTTCCTCGTCTGTAAAATGGGGACAATGGAAAGATCTACCTCTTAGGGTCATTGTGGGTATTCACGAACTAATACTAGTAGATCACAGCTGGCTCTGGCACCTGGCAAACACGCAGTTAAATTTGCTGTCACTCTTACTAAGTTATCAGTGGCAGTCCTGTGAGGGAGGCAGAGCAGAAGTAGTTTTCCCTATCAGCCAGGCCTGACTTCTCTGGGGTTGCAAAGTATGTCTGTGGCGGAGCCCACATTTGAACCCAGGCCCTCCGACCCCTCGCCCCGGCTAAGGGAGTCATTCCCCTGGATGGGCTCGTGTCTTCAGGAAGAAGCAGCCCTTAAGGACCTGCCTTTATACGATGGCTGGCACGGAGGTTGGGAGATTGGGGACTTCAGAGCAGAGGGCATACCAGCCTCAGGAGCTCTGCAGGTGGGGGCAGGGGAGGTTGGGCCTCCCTGCCAGGGTAGCAGAACTGGAGTGCCTGACACCAGCCTACCCCCCAGGGCATGACCATTCGGCCCCTGGTAGACCTGTTGGCTGTGAAGAAAAAGCAAGAGACAAAGCGTTCTATCAACGAGGAAATCCACACACAGGTACTGGAAGCTGGGCCTTGGTGCTCGGTTGCAAAAGGCTCAGGGAGCTGGGGAGCAGCCAGGCCTCATGTCCGTTGCCTCACTCAGCTCCTTCCTCCCTCTTCCCAGTGTTGGGTCATCCTTCAGCCCCTTGAGGTCACCATATTGTGCCATAGGCAGGTGTGGTGTGGGCAGCCAGGAGTGCCAGGAGGGGGGGGGTCATGCTATCTCTACCTCTACTGGGAACCTATTGCAGGCATTGGGCACAGGTGGGTTCAGGGAAGGGGGCTCAGCCAGGCCCCAGAGGCAGAGGGTTTGAGGTGCCATGGGTTCAGGATGAGTGAGGTGTTGGTGCCACCTCCTGGCTGCTCCTGGAACTACAGGGCTGGGCTGAGCAGAGCTACACTAGAGTGGAAGGTGGGGGTGGGGGGGGCCATTCAGAAGTCTCCGTAGGGAAGGAGCCCAGTAGTGAGGCTTGACCTGGCCCTGGGCCCATTTCAGTTCCTGGACCACCTTCTGACAGGCATCGAGGACATCTGTGGCCACTACGGCCACCACCACTGGAAGGACAAGTAGGTGGCAGGCCTGGTGGGCGGGGAGGGACAGGTGAGGGTCTCCCCGGGCCCCCGGGTGTCATCCCACCCTGAGGAACTGGCTCCACGCATCTCCTCCCTCCTCCCCCCTCCCGCCAGGCTCAACCGGTTTAACAAGAAGTATGTGAAGAAGTGTCTGATAGCCGGGGAGCGCTCCAAGGAGCCACAGCTCATCGCCTTCTACCACAAGATGGAGATGAAGCAGGCCATTGAGCTGGTGGAGAGCGGTGGCATGGGCAAGATCCCTTCTGCTGTCTCCACTGTCTCCATGCAGTGAGTGCCCATGGCCGATGTTGGCAGCTTCTGCACGCACACCAACCTGGCAGGCCGCCGGGGGGGTGGGGGGCAGGCCCCTCTGTTGTCCAAGCAGTGTGGGTGAGAGGGCTTCAGGGCCACAGTGAGGACCACCCCCACCCCCAGGCCATCCCCTGGGTGACCTCCTGGCCCGGACCCTGCACTCTAGGGTCACAGGAGTTCTCCCGGGGACCTAACCTGTGCCCTGTTGTCCAGGAACATCCACCCCAAGTCCCTGCCTGCCGAGCGCATCCTGCCAGCTCTGTCCAAGGACAAGGAGGAGGAGATTCGCAAAATCCTGAGGAACAACTTGCAGAAGACCAGGCAGCGGGTGAGGGGCTGCTCCCCGCCTGGTGCCCTTACAGCAGAGGAGTCTCTCTGCTCCAGCCCTGCCCCACACGTGCCCAGACCCCCCCTGGCTCCTCCAGGCCCAGCTTCTAGTGCCTGACGGCTGTTCCTCCCACAGCTGCGGTCCTACAACAGACACACACTGGTGGCAGATCCCTATGAGGAGGCCTGGAACCAGATGCTGCTGCGCAGACAGAAGGCCCGGCAACTAGAGCAGAAGGTGCGTCTAGGACTGGAGGTGGCTCCCGCTTTTCCGGGAGTCTGGGTTCTTCCCACACCCCCACCACCAAGCCCCTTTGAAGAGAGAGCCTCTGCAATCTGGGTTTTTTGGGGTTTTTGGGGGGGGGCTCCTCCACTTGTATTGAAGGCTGAGCCCCAGGGCAGGTTCCAGAAAGCTGCCTCTTCTTCCACTTCCTTCCCTCTCAGAGCAGCAAAGAGGCCATTGCTGTCTCATCGTATCCTCAGACATCTGAGTCTATCCATGTGCTCTAACCCCTCATTTTCTTTTTTTTTTTTTTAACGTTTATTTATTTATTTTGAGGGAGAGAGATTGCATGCACACATGTGAGCAGGGAAGGGGCAGAGAGAGAGAGAGAGAGAGAGAGAGAGAGAGAATCCCAAGCAGGCTCCACACTGTCAGAGCAGAGCCCAACACAGGGCTTGAAAGTATGAGAGACGGGCAGCTGGGTGGCTCGGTTGGTTAAGCGTCCGATTCCAGCTCAGGTCATGATCTTGCGGTTCATGGGTTCAAGCCCCACATTAGGCTCTGGGCTGACAGCTCAGAGCCTGGATCCTGCTTCAGATTCTGTGTCTCCCACCTCCACCCTTCTCTCTCTCTCTCTCTCTCTCTGCCCCTCCCCCTCTTGTGCTCTCCCTCTCTCTCAAAAATGAATAAATAGACATTAAAAAAATATATGAGAGAGATCAGGACTTGAGCTGAAATCAAGACTGAGCCGACTGAGCCACCCAGGTGTCCCTAGGATAGAACAAGGGCTTAAGGGAAGATAAGAACCTGAGTTCAGTTTAGACTATTGCACTGAGATACCTGAGGGCCATTTGGGGTCCAGTTCTCCTGAGCTGACTTTATGGACCTCGGGCGAGTGTGGGCTGGAGTAGATAGAGACCAGGGCAGTGTCACTGTGTGAGAGGCAGGGCAGTTTAAGGCTGCTCAGGAGATTGCGTGGCCTGACCGCAGGCTGGGCCAAGCCTTCAGGAACCCCTAAAGTGCCAGCACAGCCTCAGCGCTGGCAGAGGCAAGTGAAGAGCCTAGTGAGGAACTGCCAAAGAGGGAGCGAGCACCCGGGCACCAGCTCGCCAAAGGAGGGCGTGGCCATCGGCCTCGGGCGCCATCCAGAGGGGCTGCCCGCACTCACCCCTGTCTGCCCTCTCTCTGTCAGATCAACAACTACCTGACGGTGCCGGCCCACAAGCTGGACTCACCCACCATGTCGAGGGCCCGCATCGGCTCAGGTAAGGCAGAGTGCAGGGTGCCTGACGAGGGGCCTTGAGGTGGGGCACTCATTGCCAGTGTCTCCTGAAGATGAGGCTCTGACAGGAATGGGGCTCAGAGAACCGCTGGGGAGGACAGGCTACTCCCTCTGACCTCCTCCCAAGCCATGAGCTCCTTCTACATCAGATGGAGTTGGGGATCCCCCAAGGGGGCAGAAGAATGGCCCTGCTGTCCTCCCTAGGGACAGAGGTGCTTCATGTGGGGCTCACGGTGAGGACCGTGGAGGGGTTTGGTGCCTGGCGGTGAGGCAAGAAGGGTCTGCACCATTAGGATATCCCAACATGTGAGGGAAATGGCAGCGGACCTTCTCCCAGGCCTGGGCCCCAGGGGCAGGTGGTGACTCAGGAAGGGGCCCTAATCCTTGGTCTGAGGAGGGTCACCTGTGGGAGTCCCTGGTCTAAGGAGAGGAGCACAGTCTTACCTTTGGAGCCCCAGCCTGAAGGGAAGAGAAACCATCTGATAAGGGCTCATATGGAGCCATGTGGAGTAACGCTGAAACGTGGCAGCATTGCCATGCTCCTAGGAAGGTTCTGGGGGGGTTGCTGACCCACATCAAGGTGGAGCACACACCAGGCCAGACTCGGGGCAGAAGCCAACGTGTGCCTTGCTCTTGGTCCCCAGACCCCCTGGCCTATGAGCCGAAGGCCGATTTGCCTGTTATCACCATCGACCCCGCCTCCCCGCAGTCTCCCGAGTCTGTGGACCTGGTGAACGAGGAGCTGAAGGGCAAGGTCTTGGGGCTGAACCGGGATCCAGCAAGGGTGGTGGAGGAGGACGAGGAGGACGATGGGGGCATTGTGATGCGGACCAAGGAGCCCTCCTCCCCAGGCACCGATGATGTCTTCACCCCTGGACCAAGTGACAGCCCCAGCTCCCAGAGGATACAGCGCTGCCTTAGTGACCCAGGTCCTCACCCTGAGCCTGGGGAGGGAGAGCCTTTCATCCCCAAGGGGCAGTAGCGCTGGAGTCAGTGGGCAGTGCCCATCCCACCACAGACTCTCCCACCAGAACAGGGGCTGCTGGGGGAGCTGGGGACTCCCCTCGTCCTTCCTGACCTGGATTGGCCCTGCCCCTCCCTCGACCGCATGGCAGCTGGGCCCACAGCCCCAACCGCAGCACGGCTTCCCCTGCCTCCTGGGAAGCGCCCTCCCTCCCACCAGAACTGCCTTCCCAATCCATTTGGCAGAACTGTTGGGCTGGGAGGCAGATTCTGCCCCTTCCTGATCCAGGCTGTCTCCCAAACCTGGCCCAGGGCCTCTGGGATTCCCAGCCCTCAGAGGCCTGCCTCCTACTCCATCGCCCTTCTCATTCAAACCAATCTTAGTTCCTAACCAAAGAGCCTCTGGCTCAGTCTTGGTCCCACCTGGAAAGGGAAGGAGCCGAGACCTTTCTTGGCCTAGGCTGGGCCCTGCATTAACAGTGGGAAGACTAGGGGACCAGGTATCTGACTGGGGTACGAGTCAGTGACACACGGCAGGCCCACCCTCCTCCTGCTGGCTCTGTCACCTGGCCAGCCACCCTGACCTGTCTTCACTCAGAGCTGCAGGCCGAGGGCATATCTGAGCTTCCCTGACTGGAGCTGGGGCACTTTGGACAGTGATGTGACTTAGCTTTCCAGACTGCTTCCCCAGGGACCACCAGACCCTTCAGGGGCTACTGTCAGGGGAGGAACTGTCAGGGGATCCAGAAAGTGCTGCCTTTTTATCTGTTTTGTCTGTTCACACTCCGTGTATGATTCAGTTTGCACAGAGGGCATTCCTGTTTTTAAAACATTTTGAACACCCCTGATTGAACAGAGCTCTGGCCCTCCTACTCCAGAGCATTACCCCTCCTCGTTTGTGCCTGTCTGCCCAACACTCTCCCCCAGATCAGTCCTCTGCCTCCTGGGCTCTTAAATGTGGCCCCAAGGCTGTGATTTTAGAAGTGACCACACACACATCCCGATTCATGATTCTCTCTAACTCACTGATGCTGGGCCTCCTGGCACCTCCTTTGCTCTTGGGCCTGACCCTCAGTCCCTGCTGACCTGTTCTTTCTCTCATTCCCCCCACCCACCCCCTAGGCCCCTGGACCTCTTACGTGCCCCCAGACTCCCCCTCTTATGTGCACCGCACCCAGCTTGCTGTGGAGCCCAGCCCTTGGGGGAGAAGGCCTTCCCCCAGCATCTCCCACCCCACCAGGGCGGGTGGTGGGCAGAGTCCTGGGCCCTTAGGGGCCTTTGCTCACAGGCACACACTCCCACCCCCACTGCCACCATGGCCAGGCCCAGGCCTATTGGTGTCTGTCCTTCCCCAGGATTGTGCAATAGTCAGAGTGCCCCTCTTCCCAGCGGACTGGGCAGTGGGTGCTCATCTGTCCCCCTCCTCTCCGTGCAAGTGCTGTTTTGGGCAGGAGTCCCCATGCAAGGGTGACATTGACAACCATGTTCAAAGCCACCACAGCTGCTGCCGCTCTGCTGCCTGTACAGAAGAAACCGAATCTTTTTCATATTCTAATAAACACGTGTGAGTTTTTATACAGTTGAGGGCTGCTTCCTAGGGACCAGGACTTTGGGAAGGAGGGTGGCCTGGCCTGGGCGCCTGAAGGACTTAGCTCAATGGCTAGCACAGAGAAATGCCTAATCCGTGTCAGCAGCTGGTGGTGTTATTGCTGTGTGCCAGGCCCTGGAGATAACAGCAGTGGGCAAAGCAAGATGCTCCCTGCCCTCCGGAGCCTCCGGCCTCCTGAGGAGAGAGCACTATCCAGCAGACGTTCATGCAGACCACGAAAAACCCAGTGTGTTTGTGAATGACAGCGAGTGAAAGGGGGTGGGGAGTGGCAAGGAGGACTATCCTGAGTGATCTTAGGAAAGGACTAGAGAATAAGCTGAGATTGATCAGGTGATGAAGGTTTCAGAGAGTTCCTGAATATTCTAATTGGGAGCTGCACATGCGAAGACCTTAGGATCTGAGAAACGACCGGTTTGGCTGGGTCAGAGAGTGACAGGAAGGGAGGCAAAGATGGGACCTTGTAATCCTTGGCTAGATTTTGATTTATACATAAGGGCAGTGGGAAGGTTCTGGTACCTGTAAAGTGGGGACAGTAACGTGGATGAAAGTGCTCAGGTGTGTAAGGTTCAGCACTGTGCAGGGTGCCCAATGGGCTCAGTTCAGTGGAGGTTGGATCCCTGAGGTGCATTTCCAGGAGCTGACCACCAGAGGGCAGTGGGGCCTTGGCACACACCCCAGGCACCCCCGGAAGGTGGGCTGTCCAGGAAATCATCTTGTTTGCTTCGACTGGGAGTCAGGAGTGGTCAGTGCAAAGGGACTGTAGGGAAGGACCATGCCATCCGTTCCTGTGTCAATCGATGTCTCAACAAGAAACAGACGACACACCCAAAGGGATACTGAAGAGCCTTCAACTAAAGGATTCTTTACAGAGGTGTGGGGAGGGTTAAGGGAACCTACCAGGAATGGGGCCCAGGGGACTCACACTTCAGAAAGCCATTACAACCCCTAGACTCCCTCCCCCTAGGACAAGAAGAAGGAGCTGTTCCTAGAGGAGGGGGCCACCCTGCTGGAGCCACAGCCATAGGGAGCAGAGCAAAGCCCCTGCCAGACGGGGAAGCAGGGGATAAATAAATATTCTGCTTTTGATCCTGCTGGTGCCTCCCCTTAGCCAAATCCATTAGGGAGCCAGAAGGGAAGGCACCTGAGTAACTTCACAGAGTTCAGTCCACAAGGGTCAGCCTTGCAGTAAAGGGAGCAAGGAGAGAGTGGATTTAGGAGACAGGACATCCAAACAGCCATGCCTTTTGCCCCCACCATCCACTGATCCTTCAGATGAAAAACTCATGTCTCTGTTGCTTAATGATTACATAATTTCTGTTTGGGGTGATGGCAAGTTTTGGAAATAGATTATGATGCTGGTTGCTACCTTGCATGTACTGTGAAGGTACAAAGTGCCACTGATCATTTACTTTAAAATGGCTCATTTCATGTAAACTTCACCTCAATTTTCTAAAAATGGAAGGAAAGCTCATCTTCAATAGGAGAAACACAGTCTCATCAACCACCACCTCCTTCTCATACTTAACCATACTCTTGTCATCCTCTGGTCATACCCTTTAACTTAAAACGTCACCCATCACCAGGGCTCTTCCAGATGGGGTGGGGGGTGGGTGCAGAAAACCAACAACAGAAACCCAGAAACCCACTACAGCAGCCCCTTCTGCCGCTCGCTGGTCACAAGGCGTAATTTTGCACTCAATGGCAACCCTCTTCCACCCCCTTCTCTGTCCCTCTTACCAGCTGCTAGCTCTCTAGCTGGTTTGGTTCTTTACCTGGTGGGTAAGAGCCATACAGTTCAGGTTCTTCTTGGTCTTAGGTTTGAAGGGTTGCCAAGTTTCCCGTTGACGGTCGTTATTGGACATGGGAGATCCAAGAGGCACCCAGTACTCTGGATTCCAAACATAGCCTTCCTGCCCATCCCCCATTTTCCTTCTGGTAACCTAGATCAATCACACTATCTGGTACAGTTGACCCCCTCTCTGCCTTTTGATTAGATAACATACAGAGCTCCAATTGAGCCAAGGGAAAACTCTACTTCCAATCTAAAGGAACCATTTATGTGTTCCCTGGAGGAAGTAGTCCTCCTTTGGGCACTAAGGACTGTAGACCCACCGAACACAAAGTTGAGGGGATGGAAAGCAAAAATTCCTCCAGTGGGTTATTTGGAATAATATTGAGAGGAGCCACTCCCATTGCTACCTACCTCCTTCTGCCTTCTGGCTATGAGAGGTGGAGCCGGATATTGGCCACTGATTTAAAGCACATACTGCTTTCTACTTGTCAACCTAACCTTGCAGAGTACCTCCCAACTGGTGTTTTAACACTATTCTATCCATTCAGCTATTTATGAGTGACAGGGTACGTTGTAAGTACAGTGCATTAAGACCACTGCTGTTTGCCCCTCACCATAAAATGAAGTTAGGCAATGTGTGACATGGCCTAGTGATGAGTAAGGCATTCTGGAAAGTCCAGAGATGATGGTGCTGGCGGAATCCTTGCAGGCAGGGAAGGCAAGTCGGTACCACAAATACATATTTATTACCGCGAGCTGATAACTGTTCCCTTCACAAAAGAAGGAGTTAGCGTAATCAACCTGCCAATGGGAAGCTAGCTAGCTGGTAACCCTAGAACAGTAGTTCTCAAAGGTTTGGTCTCAGAAATCCTTTACATTCTGAAAAATTACTGAAAAATTATACTCTTAAAAATTAAAAAGGGATTCTTGTGGTGGGGGGGTATATTTATTTTCCTGGATTAAAAATTAAGCTTTAAAATACTCATTTAAAATGGATAAATCTAGTACGTTAATATAAAATTTTGAATGAAAACTTTTTCAAAACAAAAACTGTGAGGAGAGCAGCATTACTTAACATTTTTACAAATTTCTAAAGAGATTGGGCTTAATACAAGACAGCTAGCTTCTCAAATCTTCAGCATTTAGTGTGTTGTACATACGTCAGGCCTCTAGAAAATTCCACCATACACTCATGAAACAATGACAATGAAATAAGCAAAGAATGCCTTAGTATTAATATGAAAATAGATTTTACCTCACAGAACTCCTGGAAGAATTTGGGGGACCCCCCAGGGGTTCCTCGTTTACACTTTGAGAACCATTGCCCCAGGGAATGGTGCCACATGGGAAACTCTTGGTCTTTGCTGCTGGCAGCTTGGGCGCTCAGCGGTGCCAGTTGTCCATTCGATTCGGTGAGGGGAATGGGTTGAGCCTGTGTGTATTAGTTTTCTGTGGCTGCTGTAATAAATTACCACGGATTTAGTGGCGTCAAACGACACAGATTTATTGTATTACAGTTCTGGAGGTCAAGAGCTTGGCATAAGTCTCACTGGACTGAAATCAAGGTGTCAACAAGGCTGCATTCCTTTCTGAAGTCTCTAGAGGAGAATCTTTTTCTCGCTTCTGGAGGCTACCTGCATTCCTTAGCGTGTGCCCTCCTTCCATCTTCAAAACTAGTCACAGCCAATCCTTTCCCACATCACACCACCCTGACACTGACTACCTCCTGCTTCCACATTTCAAGACCCTTGTGATTCCTTTGGGCCCATCCAGATATTGCAAGATAATTTCCCTACTTTTACAGTCCTCTGATCAGCAACCTTAATTGTATCTGCTACCTTAATTCACCTTTGCCATATAAAATATATTCACAGATCCCAAGAATTAGGACATCTCTGGGAGGTCACTTATCCTGCCTACCTTACTATGAATAGCCCCTATCCCTGCCACATGGCCACTTTGTATGTGGGCCCATTGAGTAAGAACCAAGGTAGCTGGGAAAAGAAGTTGACATCTGCAGAATAGATCTCATCCAATTATTTAGAGGCTTCTTCTTGATGCTCTCTCAGGGCATTTGTGTGGGTCAGAAATAGCTTTACCACCTGTGCCCATTTCAGGCAGTCTGTCCACATATTCCTCTCTTAGACCTCACCACCAATCTCTCAATCTTGTTATTTTCAGGTTTCTGACCAGCCAGCAAACTTGTTAGTCCCTGTTCATGAATCAGTGTAGATCTGTACCTCAGGTCATCTCACCTTCCACACAAAATGGACGATCCATATAATCAGAAGTTCTACCCCGATACTCTGAGAGGTTATCCCTTCATCACTGTCTTTTAGAGATGCCCTCGGTGTGGCTTTAATGCAGCAGCTGTCCACTTGTGGCCGGTGCTTACGTACCGTGCAGACCCATTTGGAAATCACGTCTGTGCTTTTCCCTCCATGGTAACTGGTCAAAGCAACTTCCCCAACTAGAGGAGAAGCAGTGAAGCAACGAGAGGAGATGCCATGGGAATTTGAACCACCTGCTCATGCAATTTCCCTGTGCCTTCTGGACTTGCTCAGACCTGATCTCCTATATACTATTTAATAATAGAATGCTGCCATGCATGTCCAATTTTATGATTAGCTGGATCAGATAATATCCAGCTCTGGTTGCATGGGTCACTTGGTGTCCACAGTCAGGCATTCAGTTTCCATTTGTGTCCAGTTGTGAGCCTGGAGATTTTTTTTTTTTTTTAAGAGAGGTAAAGAGGGCACGAGTGAGCAAGGGGCTGTGAAAGAGAATCCCAGGAGGGACAGAGGGAGACAGAGAGAAGCAGAGCTCATCCGAAGCAGGGTTCAAGCTCATCCAAAGTGGCGCTCTAACTCACAAACCGTGAGATCATGACCTGAGCCAAAGTGAGATGCTTAATGGACTGAGCCACTCAGGGACCCAGAGCTGTTTTTAAATGGAGACTAGTGGAAGAAGAGAGCATGAATTCGTCCAAAACCCTAAGGGTCTGTAACTGTGCTGCAACTCTCCCATTGGAGCTTGTCTGTACAGCATCTTTTTCGGCCATAGTCACTTCCAAGCCCTAAAGCACATGTGACAGGGCAGCCTGGGCCTGAAGTCTTCTGTCTGCAGGGCCTCACTTGAAACTTGCAGTCTTGCAGGTTTTTCAGTAAATGTGCAGAAC